ATATTGAATGATGTTCCTACTATAGGTGTTAGTAATGAGGTGTGTGAGAGTTGTCAACTAGGGAAACAACATAGAGCACCTTTTCCGAGTTTAGCAACTTGGAGAGCCAAAGAGAAATTGGAATTGGCTCACTCAGATTTATGTGAACCAATGAAGACAACGTCCCTAAATGGAGAGGTAGATATATTTTCTATTGATCATTGATAATGCAATGGGGATGACATGGATATATTTTTTGAAGTTAAAATTTGATGTGCTTGGTGTGTTTAAGAGTTTCAAAGTAATGGTGGAAACTCAAAATGGAACCTTTTTAAAATGTTTGAGGACTGACAATGGCAAGGAGTTTTCCTCTACCGAATTTGACTCTTTTTGTGTAGATTATAGAGTTTAAAGTCAATACAGCGTGAGCTATTTCCCACAACAAAATAAAGTAGCCGAAGGGAAAAATAGAATTGTCATGGAGATGGCTCGTTGCTTGTTGGCTGAGAAAAAAATGCTTAAGGAGTTTTGGGTTGAAGCTGCGAATACTGTAATTTATTTGCTAAATAGATTGCCTATAAAAGCCGTTAGGGAGAAAACGCCTAGTGAAGCTTGGACTGGAGTAAAACCACTGCTCAAACACATTAGAGTGTTTGGTTATGTATGCTACATGGGTATTCCGAAAGAGAAAAGAAGCAAGCTTGATGAGAAGGCGAAAAAAGTGGTATTCGTGGGATATAGTAGCCAAGCAAAAGGATATAGAGTGTATAACCCAAATTCGAAGAAAATCTCAGTGAGTAGAGATGTGGTGTTTGACAAAGAAGCATCATGGAGTTGGAAGCAACAAAGGGAGGTGCAAGTTGAAGAGTCCTTGAGGGAAAACATTGAAGAAGATGAAGAGGTGGATGATGTGGGTGTGAGAGGTACTAGATCGTTTGATGATATCTATCAAAGATGTAATAGTGTCATGTTAGAACCAACATCGTTTGATGAAGCATGCTTGAGCAAAAGATGGAGAGATGCATTGGAAGTTGAGATTACAATGATTGAAAAAAAAAAGACGTGGGAGCTTGTTGATGCACCAAAAGAAAAAAGGTGATTGGTGTGAAATGACTGTATAAAACTAAGCTAAATTCGGATGGGACAATTCAAAAGTTGAAAGCTAGATTAGTTGTGAAGGGTTATTCGCAAATAACTAGAGTAGATTAATTTGATACGTTTGCACCGATTGCTAGATTAGACACCATGAGGCTTTTGATTGCCTTAGCTACTCAAAGGAAGTGGGAAATACTTCATCTAGATGTCAAGTCGGCTTTTCTTAATGGTTGGCTTGAGGAGGAGATTTATGTAGAACAACTTGAGGGGTTTGTTGTCCATGGAAAAGAAGAAAAGGTGTACAAGTTGCGAAATGCTCTATATGGGTTGAAACAAGTGCCAAAAGCGTGGTATAGTCGAATTGATTCTTGGTTTGAGGATCAGGGATTTAGGAGGAGTATGGTTGATGTGACATTGTACATAAAAGGTCATGGTGGGAGAACCTTAATTGTTTGTCTTTATGTGGATGACTTGTTGATAACGGGCAGCGAAAAGAAGAAAATTTAGGACTTCAAATGAAGCTTGATGATGGAATTGGAGATAAGTGATTTAGGATGGATGAGCTACTTCTTAGGTCTAAAGGTGAACCAAGTGAAAGATGACTTTTTCATATGTCAAAAGAAGTGTGCTCAAGGAATACTTGAGAAGTTCAAAATGGAGAATAGCAAACCTACAACGACTCCTTTGGTATTAAATTTAAAACTCATGAAAGATAATGGGAAGAAAAAAGCTGATGGTAGAAGTTATAGAAGCTTGATTGGGAGTTTGATGTAGTTGACGACAACAAGACCAAATATAGTATTTACAACTAATCTTTTATCTAGATTTATGCAGGAACCAAGCGAAGAACACTTCAATGCTAGGAAGAGAGTTCTAAGGTACTTAAAAGGAGCCAAGGACCATGGAGTATGGTTCAAAAGAACTGAGGAGGAGAGGCTAAAAGGGTTTGTTGACAACGATTGGGTTGGAAGTGTTGATGATATGAAAAACACAGTTGAGTATTGTTTTACACTTGGTTTGGGAGTGTTTTGTTGGAGTTCAAAGAAACAATAGATTGTGGCTCAAAGCATGGCAAGCCAAATATGTTGTTGCAGCGACTACCACTAATAAAGTAATTTAGATCCAAAAGTTGATAAAAGACTTGGGAGAGGAGCAAATGGATGCAACGATGATTACATGTGATAATAAATTCGCTATCTCTATTGCGGAAAATCTGATCCAACATGGAAGAACTAAGCATATCAACATTAAGTACTATGTTGTTCATGAAGCTAAAAATCAAAGAAAAACAAGATGGAGTATTGTAGCTCTGAATTTCAAGTGGCAGATATCTTCATGAAAATTTGGCCGAAATCAAGGTTTGAAATGTTGAAGAACTTGTTTGGGATGGGCACCAAAAAAGGGAGGAGTGTTAAAGTGTGAACCTATTTTGGTAAGCTTGAACTTAACAATGGTAGAAAAAGGGAGTTGCGGCGAAATGTTGAAGAAGACTTGTCACCCGGTCACCGTAGCGATAGAAACTATCGCCGCAGCGATGACAGTCGCCAAGGCAAGCACTAAGGAGTAGCGTTGAATGTGGAAAAAGTGCAACTGCCACGGCGATGGAAATGGTCGCCCCGACGAGCATCCAAGATTCGAGAATTTAAGTTCTATTTACTTTCCTTTTTTTTAGGTATTCTTGTTTTAGAATAATTCATATTCAGTAGGAGATTTGTTTGAGTTTGATTAGGCAAGTAAATTTCGTTTCTTCTTTCCTATTAGATTAGGAGTAGAAATTATTTTCTTGTATAAAATGAGTTAAACTTTGATGCATAAAATATGTGAATTCATAGTTTTCTTTAGTAAAAGTGTTTAGATTTTTGCTCCCAATTCCAACTGTTATATTAAGGATTTCATTCACATGCTCAATAGAGATGGAAGCATCAATGAAGATGTATTAGTTGATAGTCTTGATGACGACTACATATTGCTAATATTTTTGAGAAATTCCTAAGAGCATGGAGGGAATTAACTAATTTTTCTTAAATAAGTGCAAAGAATTGGAAGTATGTTCCCAACACAATATTAGTACGCCATTCACACAAAATATGCACGGCATCTCTAATAATGACTCATTGTAATATCTCGATTTTTTATTAAATAAAATGAATTTATATAGAAAATTTTTGCAAAAAATAAAGTGGAAATTTTTCTGAATTTAGTTTATTAAAATGGAATAAATTACTTATTTGACCTCCCCATTATTTGTAAGTTTAAGAAAGTATCTTTTATATAATTTTGTAAGGAAACATCACATCTATCAGATAATTCTTCCCAACCATACATTTCCTTTTGTATGAAAACATCTTTAGCTCACTTAATTCTATATTTAGATAAGTCAATTCTATATTTAGATAAGTCAAATTTGCAAATATATCTTTACATAAAAGTATTTCATTTTACGGATATAACATTTCTAGAATTTTATCATTTATTTTGTGAGATTTTCGTTCTTGTTCTTGTGATCTTGGAAGATTTTAAATATAGAACCCACAACTTAGTTTCATTGATTTATATGTTGTCAGTTTTAATTGTGCCTATTTGTTTGATTTTTATCTATTCAATGGAATGAAATTAGGGCACTAAATTTTTATTGAATATTGTTAACATATAAAGGATGAATGCTAGATTTTATGGCAAATATTAAAGTTGTGTAAACATTTTTAATTTGACATAAAATTGGAGAGTAATCTGTAGAGTTGCTGTTGATAATTCTAACCTTTAACTTTGGTTATATGAGGAGTTTGACATTGAAATTTTTATGGTGATTTATACCCATATAATAGGTTTATGATATTTAATATATGGTCAAACGGCAATACAATATAGAATTGAAATGATACAATAAGAAATAACTTTAAAAAAAAAATGAAATATTTTTTTTAGAAGATAATGAAATGATTCAGATTTGATAAAGAAAGAGTTTAAAAAAAAAAATTAATTTAACATTGAATTAGAAAATAATATATATATTTTTTTTTCATTTTAAAAGAAGTGTATAAATATAGGAATTTGATCTTAACAATTAGGTTATAAAGATCATTTATATTTAATGAGCAATAATAAGGAAGTCTTACTTCAAACTTCAAAGCAATTATATGTATTTCATTTTTCCTTGATTAAAAAAAAAAAAAAAAAAAAAAGAGGTGAATTAATTTTAAGGAAATATTCAATATTATATATGCTTATAGAGGCCCTAACTCAAGGGAGGCTTAAGGCACTTGTCTTAGTTGCCTTGTTCTTGAACCGACAGTGATATCAATGGAATTCAATAATAATAAAATATTATTTCATATTTTATAGATAAAAAAATATTTTATCTTGGTTTGGGGTAAGGTTTTTTTCATAACTGTCTCAAACTTTATTTGCATAGAAGATTATTTGGAACTTTTCATCTCAAATGACATGTTATTTTGTATGGTGTTAACATATTACTTCCCAGTTCAGTTTTTCATTTACACATTAAAATCATATAAGACAACGCATTATCTAAGATGAAAAATTTGGGACATTATTTAAGAAGCGTAAAAAAAAAGTTTTCGGCCTGTTGTCGTAAACCCAAATTCTATGTCAGAAGTATTTGGCCCAAAGGCCTTATCCATTTTGCCCATTCTTGGGCTTTATTTTCTGGGCTGTTTCATTGGGCTTTGGTGTATTAATCCGTATCCAACAGCTAAATTTTAATAAAACTCCCTCTAACATGCTAATTTTGTCAGAAACCCAATAACTTTCATGGTCTTAGAGATAAAGTACAAGATGTACATGCTAGTCTTGAAACTTCTATTCAGCCACTACAATCCCACCACGTGGCAAACTCAGAATCAAGAAATGGATGAAACTCTTGACATCAAATTACCAAAAATATCTAAACCAACCCAGGCCAGCCTTATATTGAAATTATTACTAACAATATAAAGAAACTTAACAGAAACCAACTGATTCTGAAGTCTTCACAATGTCCATAGCTTCATCTCAACAAAGCTTCCTAACAAATGCTTTTACACTATCCCACAAACCAAGAAAAAGGACTCTCTCTACTTCTGTTAAATTTGTCTCATGCAAATTCCAACCAGATGACCAAAAAGATTGTTTCAGGTAGTTGTTAATTTGGTTAGTTTAAGTTTGTTTTGAGTAGTCTTTTTTTCTTGTTCTAGATGACTATTTTGATGTTGAAAGGGTCATTTGGCTAAGTAGATTGCTCTTTTTGCAGGAAAAATGATAACCAAATTGCTAAGTTGGCTATAGTGACACTTGCAGCTGGGGTGTTGACAGTGGGATCAGTTGGTGTTGGTGTTGGTGATGCTTTGGCTGCCAAGACTGGTGGTAGAGTTGGTGGTCAGGCTTTCCGGTCGGCGCCCCGATCAGGCCCAAGATCTAATAGCAATTCAAGGTAATTTTGTTGAAGTTTTGATTGTGATTATAATGTTTTTGGTTGTTTGTTAATTAGGCTGATGGTTTTGGTACCCACTTGTGTTGATTGATTCATTAGGTTTGGTTTTGATACAAAATTAATTTTTGGGTAGTGAAGAATAGTTTTTAGACTTGATTAATATTCTTGAGCATAGCATTTTGGATTGGAGAGTTTATAATTGCTTGGTTGGAGGGAAATTGGGAGGATTTTGCAAGGAGAAAATTCTCAATTAATTGTGGTAACAATAATTAAAAAGTAGGAAAGAACTGTGTTTTTGATGTCTTTGAACATGAATTCATTAGCAACACCTTTTCAAGATGTACTAATTAGCAAAATATTTTGGTGATAATGAATGTGTGAGTCTGAATCTTCCAAGGGTAATTGAGATAAATTAAGGTTAGTTATGTTCTACTGTAAGGTTCTTGAACTCTTTTATTGGCCTCTTTCCATAAAAAGATTGCTCTTGAATTTTGCTTGTCAGCTTTCATTGGAAAGTTGCTGCCATAGTAAAATTGTTGTTGGTGGAAATTGGTATTTGATACAAAGGGATGATGCATCTTACAGAACTAAACTCAGCTGAGCATGAAGGTGAACACAGCTTGGATTGTTCATTGCAATTTTTAGAATAAAGCAACCGTTTCTTTCTTAGCTGTAAAATTTGGTGCCATCTCTACTACTGGAATGCTTTTAAGTAATTACGCAAATTAGAAGGCAGTAATATTGTAATGATGATCTGCATTTGAGCTCACCAAGATGGAACTTCTGTAATTTGTAACTCTTGTTTGGTTGGAAGGTTATGTGATAATCGTAAGGAAAGACAAATAAAAATTCTGCTGAAATACTTAAAACTAATGGATTTGCAAAAAGGGGAGGCCAAGGAATTGAGCTGCATAACAACAGAACAAAAGAAACAGAAACCTGGACAAGGAAAAGGATATACAACTCTATTCCATGTCAAGTGAGTTATCAAGCCATGGATGGAAGAAAATAAGAGATTAAGGGTAAATCTGCATAAGTGGATTGTTAAATCATAAGTGGGATGCTAAAAGGTACTGGAGAGCTAAAGGTTCCATTAATTAATAATAAATAAGAGATTTTATATTATATGTACCCTTATAACCATCTTTTTACAATTCAACTGAAAAATAATACCTAACATGAAACAAGAATTAGGTATGATCTTCAAGGCAAAGAGGTTTTCTGATTCTTCACCTCGACTTCCTACACCGGTCTTATACTAGAGTTTCTTGATTGATATCTCCTGACATCCTGATTGGTTTCTTTATTGATATCTCCTGACATGTTGTTTGAATTTGTCAGCATGACTATCAGTGGGTCCACTGTTGTAAACTTGGAATCTTGTCATGGTCCGTACTATTATAGTTTAGGATGTATAACCCTTACTTCTGCATTCAACTACTAAGATCACCATTCTGCCTTGTGAGTTTAGATAACTATTGCACTGACTCTGAAGTAAGTAAAGCTTATTTCAAATCATTTAGTATTTAAAAATCTGCTAATAATGTAATATCATTTTCATTATGTTCCTGAAAATATTTTGATTAGTTTGAATTTCACCATTGCATTAATGTATCGTTTGACAAGAATCCATATGCTTTAAGTGAGAAAAGTTTTAAAATTGATGTCGAATTTGGTTGATGTGTGCCTTATTTTTTACCATGTAGCAATTGAGGTTGCATACAAATATTTTCCTTTTAACCGAATATGAATGTAATCATCTTTCTTACTGTGCAGGACAAATATCTATATAAATCCACCGGTCGCCCCTCCTTTGGTTGGTGGATATGGTTATGGTTATGGTGTGCCGTACTACGGTGGCTGGGGTTGGTCACCATTTTCCTTCTTTGCTCCTGGTCCAAGTGTTGCCGTTGGTGTAGGAGGTGGATTCGATCTTTTGGTTCTATTCATGTTTATTGGTGCTGCTGCAGCTGTTGTGAGAAAATTCTTTGGATCAAAAGACGAAGAAGACGAGTACTAATATTGACAAATGAAACTTTTTTGATACTTTGATATAGTAAATATTGAATGTTCTCTCAGCCAACAAGACATTTCAGCAAGTTATGCAGTAGTATGAAATATCTGTATGAAAGCTGTACTGCCACCATCATGTATTATGATTATGTTTATGAAGAGTAACAATCTTGTAGCAAATATTTTATGCTTAGTTTTCTTTTTGATACCTTAGTTATGTATAACAAGACTGAATTAACGAGCAGATGCACTTCAGATTGCTTCAAAACCATATCTTAATGGTCTGGGATTATTGTACAAAATGTAACACCTGCACTCTAATCAACAGCAGTGAGTTCAAATTGTGCTCTAGTCATGCCCATATTCAATTTTAACAGTTCTAAAAGATCCAGCATGCCCAAATTGTTCTCTGCATGATGGCAATTTTCGCTTTTTCTGAAATGAACAAATTTACTGCATATGATCCCTTTATTTAGTGCCAATTCAAGCAAATTACCAGATATTTATGACTACATATGTTACCAAGTATTCCCTTTCACATGTATGGTGATTTAACATGAGGAATCTCAGTGTCAAATCTCCTGGGGGAAGAAAGGAAAGAATACTCAAGCTACTAGAACCAAATTGTATGCTTAGAGCATTGGCATTATCAACTAAGCATAAATGCAGTCTCCATGTACAAACTTCTCTTTACAAAACAACGAAAGATAGCCAAGATCAGCGAAGACAAAAAAAATAGATTTAGGATTAAAATGCTTGAAGGAAATATACAGCAAATGTATTTCCCAGGTGCAAAATTTTATGTCCCGATAATAATTCTATTGCTATCATGAAAATTGATACAAAACTATGTGTCTATCCTTTGCTTTACAGTTGATGATGTTTATCATCATACTTCATCAATCTATCAACTGAACTGCTGCAATGATGGGTATTTTTTCTCTCAACTTCTGTGTTATAGCAACCCGAACAGTCATAACTCCAGCTGCAGGACCACTGAGTCGAACTTTCACAACGTAGTCATCAATCTGAACCAGCTCAAGTATTCCACCTCCTGTGCCCGCGAGGTATGGTCTAATCTCTGCAAGAAGCTGGAAAGAAAATAACTTTAGCACTGACTAACTTAAAATCTTCCTCTCACAAAAACTTCATTAGAATTCACAATAATCAACCGTAAAATGTCACTGGTTGCAAACGCATAATTAAGCAGGAAATAATGAAATAAATGATAGCCAGTGAGAATTGGCCGGACCAAAATTCCATTACACATGCTAAATTTCCTTCTCCAACGAACTACCTCAAGTCTATAAGAAATGCTTGCATTTTCAGTTAACTTTAAAATCTATATACATGACATATCTTGTTTTTGCAATTCCTAACCATTTGTTGCCACAATGGGAACTGTCGAAAATCAGTTCTCATTTTCAACTCTCATTAAATTTTCCAATCCAATTATGTGACACATTCAGAATACACAAGCACAGCAGTAAGAATTGTGCAATTGTAGCCAGCTTCAAATTCTAAAAATTTCCAGCTGTTAATGAAAACTTGTATGGCATTAGAAAAATTAATGGAAATCAAAGCGAGTATAAGTACCACTCCTCTATGGTGTCTATTGTCTAACCTTTTCAACGTTTTCCCTGTTTAGCTCAAGTCCTGTTTCGGTGTCAAGGATTTGCTCCACTTCCAGAATTTCTGGTATTTTATCCCGGAGACGAGTTTCGATTCCATTCTTTAGTGTCATTGTTGAGCTTGGACATGATCCACATGCTCCTTGTAACTTCAGTACCACAACAAGGCCATCTATCTCATGTAAAGCTACATTACCTCCATCAGCCATCAAGCCAGGCCGCACCTCGTCCAACACTTTCTCCACATTCTCTTCAGTTAAAGGAAGCACACAGCTTGGTGAAACAAGTAGTCCTTCAACATAGAACAAACACACCAATCAATTCTTTTTCATATTTCAAATTTCATTAAACTTATGGTTTATGAAGGTAAAAGAAAAGAACATTAAATCAGAAATTACTTCAATCAAGCCAGAATATATGAAGAAATTAATTAATAAAACAAGTGATGGAGTAGGAATCTTCAACAATTTTGTGAACTCACTCACTTCAATCAAGAAAACTAGAATAGCTTACAGAGCCAGAACAAATTGTTATATTCTGAAATCTTAAATCAAGAGTGCCCCAAACAGAACTAATTTAATTTTTTAAAATTTTCTAGAGGGAACTACATTGTTTTTTCATTGGAAAATAAACAATTCAATGCTCAAGAAATCACATACACAATTCTTAATAGTTGAGTTTACCTCCATGTTTTCTCCTTGCACGGTTCAATCTAAATTCAAGAAAGCATCCGCTATTGAATTGACCTCTGAGAAAAGAGTTGTGTTTTGAAGAAAAGCCACTGACATCACAAATGGGGTTCTGAAGAAACGGAGAAATAAGCACAAGAAGATATTAAAAATAATAAAATCCTTAAACAAAAAGATTCTTTAGCAGAGTTGAACAAAAGAGTACCTTAAAGATTGATAAATGAAAAGCTGAGGTTCTTTCAGGAGGAGATAGAGTTGAGTTGAATATAGCAGTGGTTGATGATGCTTTGAGAGCCTGTGTTTGAGATGAAAGTGCTTTCATTTTTCTGCTTTATGATCAAGAACAATGAAACTCCATGGAACAAGAGTGGCAACACTTTTCACAACATGGGCAGTAACAACAACAAAAACTGGGCAGTGGGAAACTGTTGTCTTTGTTTTGAATATTACAGTTTTTGAGGCTATCTTCTTGGTGGCTTAGCATGGTGATGTAAAAGGTTTTGATTGGCTGATGATAGAGAAAATTAAATCTGTTAAAGTGTGTACCAGATCTTGTGGATAGAATGTGGGCTTCTAAATGTGAAAGAGATGAAGCCACGTTGGAAGTTAGACAATGTTCGTAAGTTTCTGGGCCTAAATGTTATTATGTGAAAGTTTTTGGGTTGAAAAAACTTTGGATGGAACGAAAAGTACGGGAGCTATTTCGGTACTTTCATAATTCATTTGATGGTGTTTAAAGCTCAATATATTTATACTAGTAGATGAGTGTATAAGAAAAGCCCAAGAAAAACCTGTTGGGCCTATAAGAAAAATAGCATTAGGAGCGCTCAATTGTTTTGCCACCTTATCACATTTTTTTGTGAGTGAAATAATACTAGCAGTGTTAATCACTCATGGTGGATGGTCGGGCGGTGCGAGATAGACTCTTGGATATATTATTCAAGAAATCTTGAGTTCTTTTGAGAGACTAGTTGAGGAAAAAAAAGAAATATTAGCAATATTTGAGTGATGATTTAGCATTGCATATTATATATTTGTAATTCATTTATCTATTATTGAAGCAAAAACAATGGCATAAACATTTTTTGTGGTATGACTATGGTTTTTTTATTATTCCTATTTTAAAAAATTGGATTAGATTTTATATGTATTTTACAAACTGTTTGGAACTTGCATATGACAATATATTTTAAATTAAATTAGTTATAGATGGGCTATTAGATCAAAATAGTAATAGCATTCTATTTATAAACTAAACATATCAAAATTGGATTTTTCTGTTCATATACAATTTATATAGAATTTTATTTTTTATTTAAAAATAAGTGAAACAAAGGATTTAAAAAAATAAATTAATTAATAAAGCATTGCCTGCACACAAATTATTGCCCACAAATTAAAAATAAGTGAGTGGAAATGCAAGCAATATTTGTGTGATGATTTTACATAAACAATAATAGTTATGACATGATTGATTAATTTTACTGTATTTTTTTTCTGTTACTAAATTTTACCTAAAATTCCAATTGATTACATATTCTTGCAAATTCAATTTAGCTTAAAATATTGGAGGAAACTACATCTTATTGTTTTTTGATTGAAGCACTGACAAATTATTGGAATTCAATCTTAGCTGCATTGTTAAGCTGATCGTGTATCGTAATAATCAAATCTTTTTGTTCAAAGTCAAGGTTTTCATCTTTAATTTTTTATAATTATTTTAAACCTTTTCAAACGTTTTTAACATTTACATCACCCCAAATGTTCATCCTTTAACAAACTATTTATCTTTTAATAGAATATTTATATTTTATATATTTATGTTCTAGTTGAAAATAAATGTTAATGAAGAAAAAATAAATACTAATAGTATATCTTTTATTTTACTTTTACTTTATACATTTATGTTAAATAGTTTGAGTTTGCTATATTTGGATATTAATAAATTGTAACATTTTATTTTAACCCTACAAATTATTAAATATCATAATAAACACATAATTTAGGGTTATCCCTGCTCATCACTTTTTCAATTTTTCTAGTTTCGTGATTAAAATATAATTCATAATTTATTCATTGTAGTCCTGAATATACCTTTTATTGTTAAATTCATGTTGATGTGCTATGCCCTTCAAGTTTGAAATTTGTGACGATTAATTTTTTTTGTACTAATATATAACAGGACTAAATTGTAATTTTTGTAATTAGTACTTAATCAAAAGAAATAATAAAAAACATATCTACAACACTTCATTGACAATAATATTCATCAAGTATTTAAGCCCTTTACCAATTGGTCTTATATCTGGTAATAAATCTGTCCAAATCTATGTTGGTTAAATTTTTCTGCATCATATAATTTTTCGGATCCTATTCTAAAATATTATGATGTTAGAAATATTTTATATTTCTCATAAGGTGGTACATGTATTAATTTTATCTTATAGTTGTTTTGAAATAATTAAATTAACTAAAGGGCATGATGGTCATTTACCTTTGATGGAGAGGTTATTGCAGTTAATTAAATAACTGCAGTTTGGGAGTTATTAAAACTGCCATATAAAAGAGGTCTTCTTTCTCTATTCCCAAATTAATTTATTACGAATGGTTTTTCTTTATCCATTAAAAGAAGAAATTGATAGTAAGGGAATAAAGGGAGAGATATACACCTTTATTCTACAATCTCTATTAATAAATTACTCATGGATTCAAGTATGTGTTTATTGTGTTTTATAAATAGTGAAAATGCATCAAAGTTTCAGATTTTGGGATTTAAGATTATGCAATTTTAAGGCATAGAAATATGATTATATTATTGATTCTTTGCCATTGATGGAATTGATAAAATTGCTATTAAGATTGTTTTTTCATGTGGTATCAGAGTATTAGGTTTATAAACTGATGTATTTTCCATTAAGTTGTTTTTTAATATATTAGAGTTCTTACGGGATGAAAAAATTGAATTGGATTTTGGAAATTGACAAATATAAAGGGTTGTTAAATTTGATTGAGTTTTGTAAATTTGATTGAATTTGTAAATCTATTAAGTGGCTGGAATCTCATGATGAAATGTGATTTTCTAGATTATTTTTTCAATAAAAATTTCCAGAAATTTGGATTCCAAATTTTTTTTCTAGAAATTCGGGTCAAATATTGACCCATATGTTGATCCAGCTTATGAGAATGCAAAATCTCATATTTACCCCCCTTAATGTCTAGTCTTTTATACTTATTTGCTGCCTAAATGTATTCATTATTATTCTATTTTGATTTAGGATGCAAATGGAGGTGTTAATTGCAAAACGGAAATAATTAAGTGAATTCGAATAGTTTCAACATTGCTTCGTAATCTGGGCATAACTCTCTCACCCGAGCTCCGATTGAGATGATTCAAAATGATATGGAACGCTAAGAAATAGATCTACAACTTTCATGTTTTGAGTTTGGAGAGATACTCACTGGATCAAGGTTGTAATCGAGCTTGAAATTGACGCACCTGCACTATCGACGTTCTGGAACATTCCGCCTTGTCATACAATTCAAATAAGCAGATTATTACAAGAAGTTTTGAAGACCTGTTGCACGCAAATTATAGCTAGAAACACCACTTTCCTATTTTGTATTAAGACTTTATTTTATTTTCAATTACTTAGATTAGGATAAAGGTTATTTTAGGATTTCGGAATATTTTTAGGAGATTGAGTAGAATTAAAATTCAAATTGGATATTGAGAGAGGGAGATCAGATTAGGGATAACACATATCACACACACTTCTCTCTTCTCTCTTATGGAATTTTTCTTCTTCGTTTTCTTCTTGAACTTTTCCTTTGAATTTTCGTGATGGCCATGAGTGGCTAATTTTTATAACTTGGTCGAAGGAAACAAGACCTCGGACTCAATAAACTGTGAGATTAATCTGGTTTTTTTCTTCAAGTGTTCAATTTATGTTTGATTATTGGATGTTCTTCTACGCATATTTTAATGATTGTTGCGTTTAATTACTAGGAGGCTTACTAGTTTATTATTTGTTGCAAACTACTGCTAAGTTAGATATCAAATCTGTAATTGTTTGATCCCTTTAACTTGTGAAGCAATTAGGGTTTAAGAATTTGCTCCGTCAGGAATTATTAAGTCTTAAGAAGAACATTCAACTAAATTAAATGCAACCGCTTGAGTTTGTGTTGTTTAGCTTCATCGATCTCTCTAGGTCTTAAGGCTGCCACTAGATTAAATCTTTAGTGCTTGTTAAGGGTTGTTTAGTAGTAAGGTTAATTAGATCGCTTGTTTCTTAATTAATTACAACTAAGGAGAGATAGGAAAATAGTTCCAACAGTGAATATTCAGGGTATGAATTGATTTATTTTTATATCGATGATCAGTTGTAAGATTCCGATGGTGGATGTTGACCTAGACCAAGTTTCGTTATTTGATTGATTTCGATAGTTTAATTTGAATTGTTTTTCCTGAAATTATTTATGTTTTACTCAAAAACCCCCCAACCTTGTTCACGTAACATTAAACTCGGCTAGACACTCTTCGTGGGAATGATTCCTACTCATACTACTACATGTATTTTTTAGGGTTTTAATTCTGGGTGCCTACGACAGCACGCCACCAACCCAATTTCCTTTAAAGTCTATTTGTTTTAGTTTATATAAACCCAAATAAAAGAAGCGCAAGCCATATTTTTTAAGTGAGCTCAATTCAAACCCAAACCCATTAAGAATACCCATAAAGAAGCCCAACCCATTTAGGCAAACAGGTAAACTCGATCCAGTCAGCATTCGGATCAGTAAACAGGTCAAACCACTCCAGATCGTTAACTAAACCGGTCAATCGTTAAAGTTAATGGTCAACCATCAAAGTTAACGGTCAACAGGTCAAATTGACCCAATTTTGACCTTGGATAGTATTATAGTTATTATTTAAGTTTGATACTATATTATATATAATTTGTTAGTCACCAAAGTGGTCAAATTAGAATGTTTATCTCATAGATATCAAACTAAATTAGATTTAATTACTCATGATCATTAGATGCTTTAAAGAGATGACATGATGTAGTTGATATGAGTAATTTGAAGTTCATAAATTATAGGATAGTTAAGGATCACCCAAAGGTAGATTAGTTAATCCTATAATTATGAACATAACTGTGGTTAATTAATGTACTTGATTGGGTGTGTTTAGTATATCCAAAGATAACAAACCTGTCTAACGAAAGTACATTAGATTACCAATTAAGAAAATTGCACCAATTAAGTTTAATTATCATATATTGTTATATCTCCCAAAGGAGATTTTCAATATACATTTATGTTTTAATAATAATAATTTTTAATATCATAACCTAAAATTATGTATTAGGTATAAAATTCAAAGTATTAATGTGTAAGCAAAATTTTGTTTTTGCAGCATCTGCTCTTCATGCCTCATATGTTGTTAAGTTTAATGGGTTCAATTATAATGAGTGGAGTGAGCAAGTTGAGTATTACTTGGGTATTC